GGTGCTGCAGAAGAGAGATTAGGTAATTCGACGCCAAGGTTTAAGGAACCTCAAAAGATGGAGGACTCTCCTCTCTTGGAGGTTTTTAAGCAGAGGTTGGATGGTCCCTCTGTCAGGGGTCCTTGAGCTGCGATTCCTACATTGCAGGGGGTTGGACTTGATGACCCTTGGCGATCCCTTCCAACTCTACAATTCTGCTGGGCTCCTGCACCATAGATCTGCCCAACACTGACCGACAGCAGCTCTTCAGGGTTTCAGGCAGAGATCGTTCTTCCCCCAAATACTCCTTGAGGATATTGGGGTTGAACCTGAGAGTTTCTTGCGTGGAAATCAGATGCTCTATCACTCAAGCTACGGCCCTTAAGACACAAGAAGCTGCCTTATGTTGAATCAGAGCATTGGTCCAGCTACCAGGCATGTCCCCCCACCCTCAAAAAATGATTGCTTCCCAGGGAATACTGGAGGGTTAGGTCCTGTACCCGTGCCCGAAAAACTGGCTAACAATTCAATTTGGTTCCACAATATTTAAAGAAAGGCATGGTTTTTTAATTGTGGAGTTTTTTAACTGCAATTTTTTCAATAAAAATAAAAAATGGGGGGGGGATCCCAGTTGAGGATGCTGTTGAAGAAATATGCTCTTGATGTAGCAGTGGGCATATATGGTGTCCAGATCAAGGGCAAGTACAGTGGTACCTCGGGTTACATACGCTTCAGGTTACAGACTCCGCTAACCCAGAAATAGTGCTTCAGGTTAAGAACTTTGCTTCAGGATGAGAACAGAAATCGTGCTCCGGCGGCATGGCAGCAGCAGGAGGCCTCATTAACTAAAGTGGTGCTTCAGGTTAAGAACAGTTTCAGGTTAAGAATGGACCTCTGGAACGAATTAAGTACTTAACCTGAGGTACCACTGTACAGCTCCATTGTGCCTTAGTTAGGCCCCCACCTGGAGTTCTGTGACCAATTCTGGGCACCTCAGTTTCAGAAAGATATTGAACAGCTGGAAGGTGTGCAAAGGAGAGCTACCAAGATGATCAAGGGCCTGGAAACCAAGCCTTAGGAGGAAAGGTTGAGGGAGTTGAGTATGTTTAGCCTGGAGAAGAGAAGATGCCATCTTCAAATATCTGATTGAGGATGGAGCAACCTTCTTTTCTGCTGCTCCAGACAGGAGGGCTTGAACCAATGGATTCAAATGACCAGAAATGTCAGGAAGAACTTATTGACAGAAAGAGCTGTTCGACAGTGCAATGGACTCCATCAGAAGGTGGTGGACTCTCTTCAGTGGAGGTTTTTAAACAAAGGGTGGATGGTTCCCTGTGATGAATTCTTTAGCTGTGGTTCTTTTTAAAATATAGATAGATTTTTTCACAAAAAAAGAACCCTTTAGCTGAGATTCCTGCATTTCAGGGGGTTGAACTAGATGACCCTTGGATACATTCCAACTCTTCAATTCTTTGATGCTATGATTCTGCTCACTGACACCCTCTTCATTACTGCCCAGCATTCAGGGCTGGATCCAGCCCACAAAAATAGGTTTGGAAGACTAATAAGCGTTGGGGAATCCTAACTCGAAGTTAAACTCTCTTTATTCCACTCGCAAATTCAATGATCATCTTTTGGGGAAATGTGTTTCGCCCCTTGTTTTGAAAGCAGTGGCTTAATCCAAATCTATGTGATTAATAGCCTAGGGGGAAAAACAAGATCCAAGGATTCAGGGTCTCACCCAAATGGGATGCCTTTCGGCTGCTGTTCCTGATCTCATCCTGCACATCAGATGGTCCCAGATTCCCTGGCAACCAACACAGCAGGGGGGGCCTAGATTACGGATCTGGCCAAGATTAGTTGAGCAAAATCTGGATCACGGCACCAAACGGGCTTGATTTCCTCTTAAGAAGAAAATGCATTTAAAGCGCCCAGTAATCTTTCGCCCAAAAGAGGGCAGCTGGCCAGGGGGAGGGGGGAAAGGTGGAGGGAGAGCACAAAGGGGACACAATGCTAATCCTGCGGGGAAAGCTATCTAATCTTCCCACACAGAGCAGTAGATGGTGCGCAGACAGAGGCTGAATGTCGACGTGTAATGGGATGTGTGGCAGGAATCTTGTTTAGCCCTGTTTGGTTGCACGATGCGATTTCCACCAAAACGGAGGAGGCTTTTGAGTTTAGGAGAGAGAAATCACGAATGGAAGAACCTATGAAGAGCCTGCAGGAGCAGGTCAATAGCCCACCTAATCCATCATCTTTTTTTTCCCTCAGTGGCCAATCAGGTGTCCATTTTGGGAAGCGCAAAAGCAGGACCTGAGCACCAGAAGACTCTCCCTGCCTCACCACTGTAGTAAAGGTAAAGGGACCCCTGACCATTAGGTCCAGTCGTGGCCAACTCTGGGGTTGTGGCGCTCATCTCGCTTTTTTGGCCGAGGGAGCCGGCGTACAGCTTCCGGGTCATGTGGCCAGCAGGACTAAGCCACTTCTGGAGAACCAGAGCAGCACACGGAAACGCCGTTTACCTTCCCGCCGGAGCGGTACCTATTTATCTAGGTTGGCAGGAGCAGGGACCGAACAACGGGAGCTCACCACGTCGCGGGGATTCGAACCGCCAACCTTCTGAACAGCAAGTCCTAGGCTCAGTGGTTTAACCCACAGCGCCACCCGCCTCACCACTGTAGTTTCCAGCAACTGGCACTCAAAAGCATTGCTGCCTCCAATCTTGGGGCTTTTTAAAGAAAAATGCTGAGCAACAGGGGAACACAACACTTGCAAAAGATGATGCACAGCGTAGAGAAAGCAGGCAGGGACTTTTTCTCCCTCTCTCCTAACACTACAACTCGTGGACATCCAAGGAAGGTGAATGTTGGAAGATCTGCAGGTGCAGTCAAATTGTTGGACGGTTGCAGAGCCTGCTGTGGCTGCAGAGACCAATACAGGAGAGACATGTTTTGTTGCAGCTGGGGAAGATGAAGGCATCCGGTTGTGCTACTGCAGATGCACCACGCTGTTTCTCCTCTCTGCACACCGCCCAGCGGTCATTCCTCCTCTGGTCACTGCTATGGACGCACAACCTGACTGCCTGTCTCCAGGCACTGCGGTCGTCTGCAAGCGATTCCCACACAGCAGAGTTGACATTTTCAGCCTTCATGTCCCATTTGCAGACGTCTTTGTAATGCCGAGTTGGTCTGCCAACGGGCCTGGAGCCTGAAGCCAGCTGCCCGTAGAGCACCTTTTTGGGGAACCTGTCCTCTTCCATTCTGCGGACATGACTGAGCCAGCATAGAAGTTGCCAAGACAGGAGTGCGAAACATGCTGCAGATGTGGGCTAGGGAAGATCCAGGGCAGGCAAAATGAAGACCTCCTCTTCGTGCGATGCAATGCGAAATTGTGGACTTCGTAACCGCAAGAAGCTGTGATGGCCACCAACTTGGGTGGCTTCAACAGAGGGTTAGATGCATTCACAAAGGATAACACTAACCCAACAGCTACCAGCCAGTATGTCAGAGGCCAGAATGCTCCTGAATGCCAGTGGCTGGGAATTCCAATGGGGAAAGTGTTGCTCTTGCACGTGGGTCCTGCATGCAGGTTTCCTACAGGCATCTGGTTGGACAAGGTGACAGCAGGATGCTGCCCTAGATGCCCACCCCCTCCATGGCCTGATCCAGCTGCAGTGCTCTTCTGATTTTCTTAAGGGACTCACTTGTTGTTGTTGTTTAGTCGAGTCCGACTCTTTGTGACCCCATGGACCAGAGCACGCCAGGCACTCCTGTCTTCCACAGCCTCCCGCAGTTTGGTCAAATTCATGCTGGTAGCTTCAAGAGCACTGTCCAACCATCTCGTCCTCTGTCGTCCCCTTCTCCTTGTGCCCTCAATCTTTCCCAACATCAGGGTCTTTTCCAGGGAGTCTTCTCTTCTCATGAGGTGGCCAAAGTATTGGAGCCTCAGCTTCAGGATCTGTCCTTCCAGTGAGCACTCAGGGCTGATTTCCTTAAGAATGGAGAGGTTTGATCTTCTTGCAGTCCATGGGACTCTCAAGAGTCACTAGACCAGAGATTTTCAACCTTTTTGAGTCCATGGCTCCCTTGACCAACAACGTTCTTTCTACGACAGGAGCCCAGTTATGTCACCCCTTGCCTGCAGAGCTGGCAGCCTCTCACCCTTTTCCAAACACCCTCCCTTGGGGAGTGCTCCCTCAGCCTCCTCTCCTCTCCCCACTCCTTGGGAGTCCTCTGGGCAGCTGCTGCTGCCACCCCTGGTCTCTGAGATGCCCCCTGCCCCAAAGAGAAGTGCCACCTCCAACTGCCCCACAGGGGACTGGGAAACACCCCTTGGCCAGCCCTAGAGGCACCATTCGCCTGCGGAGCTGGTAGCCAGGGCTGCTGCAACAAACAGCTGTGCAAGTCTTTGAGAGGCAAAGGCATGAGAGGGCACCTGAGGTGGGAGGGAAGGAAAGAGGGGCAGAGGCCAGTGTTGCCCGCGCCAACCCTGACCATCATTCAAGGCACCCCAGGTGCTACAGCACACTGGTTGAAAACCACTGCACTAGATCATTGGCCATGCTGGCTAAGGGTGGATGGGAATTGTCGCCCAAAGCATTTTGAATGCACCAAACTGGAGAAAGGCTTGATCAAAATGGGAAAGATTAAGCAGTGAACATCTCAACTTGCCACTTAGCCTTTTTACTTTAAAAAATGAACTACCCAAAGGGTGATAAACTCAAACTGAGCAGGTATATCCTAGAAAGCAGCTATTTCAGACTCCAGCTTCCATCAGCCCCATCAGCCAGCAGGACCAATCGTCAGAGACAGTGGGAGTTGTATAGAATGGATGGAGGGCACCAGCTTGTGGGAAGCTGTAATAAAGCTTCTAGGTTGAAAGGGAGCAGAGCACCGCCTTCCCAAGTCGTATCTTACACAGGAAGCTGCCTTATACTGAGCCAGACCTTTGGTCCATCGGGCTCAGTATTGTCTACACTGGCTGGCAGCCGGTCTCTGGGATTTAGGCAAGCTAGTCTCTCCCAACCCTACCTGGGGATTGAACCCAGGACCTTCTGCTTGCAAGATGGATGTTCTATCACGGAGCCATGAGTCAGTTAGGCGTGACTGCCCTCCTTTTGACAAACCTATCTGGCCTGATATCCAGGACTCCTTTGGGGCTCAAGCCAAAGGCTTGGTTCCTTCCCAGCACACAGCCTCCAGGGCAGGCAGCCTTTTGCTGCTCCGCTGTGCACCGAGCCACCCTCCTCTCTCCTCGCCCCCTCCCCACTCCAGCCTGCCCGCGTCCCACAATGCCAGCCTGCCCCAGAATGTACGCAATGTACCAGCTGCCTTCCAAACAGCTCTTTAAAGCCACTTGGCTGTCTGAGTGGCGGACACAGCAGACCCGGCCTGAATGCTAATGACAGCAAGGCACTCCCAGGCACAGCAAGCCTGCCAGCTCCAAGCAACGGAGCCTCGTTGGCCGGGCCTCTTTCCTGCCTGCCATTCACAGCTGGCTGTGGAATTGCTATCCCCAACCCCATGAGAGAAGGCACCCTCATTTGCTAAGGAGAGGCACTCTATGGTTAGAGTATCGGACCGGGACCTGGGATGGGGGAAAAGCTGAAAATTTCAAAAGATAACACCTTAAATCAGGGGTCAGCAAACTTTTTCAGCAGGGGGCCAGTCCACTGTCCCTCAGACCTTGTGGGGGGCCAGACTATATTTGGGGGGGGGAGTGGGAAAATGAACAAATTCCTATGCCCCACAAATAACCCAGAGATGCATTTTAAATAAAAGCACATTCTACTCATGTAAAAACACCAGGCAGACCCCACAAATGACCCAGAGATGCATTTTAATTAAAAGGACACATTCTACTCATGTAAAAACACGCTGATTCCCAGACCGTCTGTGGGGCCGGATTTAGAAGGTGATTGGGCCAGATCCGGCCACCGGGCCTTGGTTTGCCTATCCATGTCTTAAACCATATACAGTGGTACCTCGGGTTACATACGCTTCAGGTTACATACGCTTCAGGTTACAGACTCCACTAACCCAGAAATAGTGCTTCAGGTTAAGAACTTTGCAGCGGGAGGCCCCATTAGCTAAAGTGGTGCTTCAGGTTAAGAACAGTTTCAGGTTAAGAACGGACCTCCGGAACATATAGAGGTACCACTGTACCCGATACTGGTATCGCTCTACGTAAAGAGATTCTCCATGCCCTCTCATCTGCAAAAAGATTGATAATTGATACATTGGAAGGACAAAAAATACCCCCCCCAATTGATCAATGGACAGATGACAACTCTTGCAACCCATGAACAAATCACCTTCAGGTGAAGATTATGCATGGACAAATTTAATGATATTTGGAATGTATTTGTCGAAAGGATGGTGACACATGGATTGACATATACTTGAGGGAAACAGTAAGTTTATCCATCTACGTATATATTTTATGGTTATTTTGTTATTGCTGTTTTCCTCTGCTTTTTAGTTTTTTTATGTATTCTATCTCCCTGCCCCCTTTTCTATTCTTTCTTTTTCCTTCTTTCTTTTTTAGCTTAACTTACAGTACTATAATAAGCTCAATAAAATTTTAAATAAAAAAGACCAGACACTAGGAGAGACCAGGGTTCAAATCCTCACTCAGCCATGATACGCACTGGCTGTGACCTTGAGGCAGTCACCGCCTCTCAGCCTAACCTACCTCACAGGGTTGTTGTGGGGATTAAATGAGGGGAGGGGAAACCATGAGGAGTGTGGAGCTCCTTAGAGAAAAAGATGGGATATACCGTATTTTTTGCTCTATACGACTCACTTTTCCCCTCCTAAAAAGTAAGGGGAAATGTGTGTGCGTCTTATAGAGCGAGTGCAGGCTGCGCAGCTATCCCAGAAGCCAGAATAGCAAGAGGGATCGCTGCTTTTGCTGCGCAGCAATCCCTCTTGTTGTTCTGGCTTCTGAGATTCAGAATATTTTTTTTCTTGTTTTCCTCCTCCAAAAACTAGGTGCGTCTTGTGGTCTGGTGCATCTTATAGAGCCAAAAATACTGTAAATGAAGTAAGAGAGAGAGAGAGAGAGAGAGAGAGAGAAAGAGAGTAGGTAGATAGATAGATAGATAGATAGGGCTGAGGTGTCCCAAAAAGCTCCCAACCCCACATTCACTCCAAAGCACTCGCTCCCCCCCCAACAGTCATTTTTGGCAATTTTTTGGTGGGTGCTTGGCAAGCGCCTGTCCGTTCAGAAACGCTGCCCTCAATCTGAACCGACTTCGTTTGCTGTCAGCATCGTCACCCCATAGCCAAGCCTGATTGGCTAGAGAGCCCAGCCCAGTGTCACCCCTGGCAATCAGCCGCGACTCCTGCACTGCAGGAGGGTTGGACTAGATGACCCCTGGGATCCCTTCCAACCCTTCAGTTCTATGATTGCAGAAATGATTCCCACCCACCACCACCCGGGCAAACCTCCAACTTTGCCACCTGCAAACGAAGTGGAAAATTTTGGGTTGGGTTTTTTTTGGAGTGTAGAGGGCTGGGGAGCCCCATACACGATAAGGGCCGTAGCTCAGGGGCAAAGCACCTGGTCTGGTCCTTGACAACATCTCCAGGTAGCCTCCAGACTAGCAGTCCATTCCAGATGTTCCATCTTGGGTGCTGCAACCATCCCTCTCCCTCCCACCTGCCTCAATCCAACACTCTCGGGAAGAGGGGATAAAAAGACATCAGCGTTCCAACAGACTGAATTTGCACCAGCACCTCAGAGAGCTGACCCCTTCTCTGCTGCCCCTGCCAGCCAGTCCCCCAGCCAGCCAGCCCTCTCCATTACACCCCGCGGGAAATCCGCTTAGCTCGCTTACCCCCATATGATCGACATCGGATGATCCGATTACAGGCGCTAACGCCTTGAAAGTACCCCCTGCCTCCCCCAGCAGATATTTCCTATCATAACACCCACCCCAGCATTTGACAATACCGCACAGGGTATCTGAGCTGGTTTAAGAGCACCCTCCAGAGATCACTGAACTACAACGCCCATCAACCCTGACCACTGGGCATGCTGGCTGGGGCGGATGGGGGAGTCCAGCAACATCTGGAGGTCACAACATTGGCCATGCCTGCGCTTGCCAAACTAACACATATCTTGGGGTCACTGTGGCCCGCTAAGGCAATGAGGGGTATTTTATAAGTTTTTGTGACAGCATATTTGACTCTAACTCTTATTTTCATTTTGTTTTCGCAGCGGCCCAATTCACCTTTGTGCATATGTGGAGTTTTAAAGGTTGTTTTGCTTGCTTTCCTTCCTTCCTTCCTTCTTTCTTTCTTTCTTTCTTTCTTTCTTTCCTTCCTTCCTTCCTTCCTTCCTTCCTTCCTTCCTTCTTTCTTTCTTGTCCATCCCACCTTTTCCTTCAAGGAGCTCAAGGTAGAATGAGAATGTCTCTCCCCACTCCTCCTTTAATCCCTACAACAACATTGTACAGTAGGCTGTGGCTTGATAGCTAAGTGAGGATTTGAACCCTGGTCTCTTCCAGGTCCAAGTGTGACATCCTAACCATTACACCACACTGGCTCTCTGTGGACTAATCTAATCAAGTCTATCCTGCATTTTTCTTCTATGCCCCCACCCCATGCTTTCTGGGCAAGTACAGAAGCTAAGGATAAAAAGGGATCTCCCTCCTTGGCCCTACTGCCAGCCAAAAAGAGCACTCCAAGGAGGCCGTAGCTAACACCTTGAGAATCGTTTGAAAGAATGGCAAATGTTAATCTGCAGAGGAAAGAGGAGTAATTGCAGTCAAGAACATGCAAGACTGGGAAGTTATCTTGAGAGACATCCAAATTGCCGCAGGTAATTAGAACTGCCATGCCAAAGAGGGTGGCAGAATCTTCAGAACCATCCAAATTGCCGCAGGTTGAGCCCATCACACCAAATTGTGTGATGTTCTGCCAAATGGGGGCAGTGATACCTTCAAAAGTGTCCAGATTGGCACAGCCAAAAATTGGGTAAAGTCATGTAAAAGTCACATTTTTGGTCTGCCATTTTGATTCAAAATTGTGCCTGGCATTCAAACATCAGCAAAGACCACCACCTTCACACGAGGAACCCCCATGCCAAGTTTGGCAACCATGAGACGCAGCTGAACCTATGCTGAAAAACAGGTGAAGTCACATCGAAGTTGCATTTCGGGCAGCCATCTTGATTCAAAATGGCACCTGGAATCCAAGCATCAATGAAGAGCCCTGGGGAACCCTCTTGCCAAGTTTGGCAATATCTCAAGAGGCGTCTGAACGTGTAGAGAACAAACAAATGGATGGAGAAACCAAAGTATCTAGCAGATTCATTCATTCTGATTTGTTTGCAGGGAAGCAAAACGATGTTGCAGAGAAGTGAGATGATGTTGCATTGAGACAAGGGTCTACCCCAAGCCTACAAGTGCATTTACCTATGTCTTTTCCGTATTGCAAGAAATATTTGGGGTATTTTATTTTTTTTACACAAGACCTCCCAATAAACTATCATTGCAATACCTGAACTTGCTGGTAGGTGGTTGAATCGCACCCCAAAAGAGTGCCAATCTGGAACAGGCAAAGAGAGCAGAATGAGGGGACTTTGTGGTCCAAAACAGAGTAGGTCTGGGGCTCAGTACCCCCCCTTCCACCCTGCAGACTATCCTTTCTTAGATGGTCTGGGGGGAAAGAGGGGAAATTCTAAGGAGAGGAAAAATCGGACAGACACACACACACTCCCAACAGACACTAGACAAACAGATGAGACAAGATGGCATCCTTTTGATCCCTCTCAGGGGGGATAACGTCCCCCTCCTCAAATTCAGTGGGGATAGAGAATCCTTGCAGGGGAAAACATCTGGGTGAAGGATAAAACTTTAGCTCTTGATTATGGTGGTCTTATAATGGGGGTGGGGGCTTAAATCCCCAAGTCCTCATGGCCTTAATCAAGTTCCTACTGGGAGGGAGTGTTTAAAGGGAGAAAACAGGGGCTTGTGGGGCAGGGAAGATGTAGGCTGGCTCTGGTTAAGCAAGATGCGGTCCTCAAAAGGGATATTGTAGAGTAGGAAAAGGTTCAAGAAAATGGCAACCAAAATTATCCAGGGGAGAGAGTGACTCCCCAATTGAGAAAGGATGAGGTATTTCAGGCTTCCTGGTTTAAAGAAAAAGTGAATAAGAGAGGGCATGATGGAAGTTCATACCCTCACGCATGGATTGTGTCACAGCACCAGAACTCATGGGCATCCCTTGAAGCCGATTGGTGGAAGATGCGGATGGAGGAAAGAGCGGAGCTAAACTATGGAACTCCCCGCCACAGGAGGCAGTAACGGCTACCATCTTGGATGGCTTTAAAAGACTGGACAAATTCATGGAAAAGAGGGTTATCTATGGCTACTAGCCAGGATGGCTATGCTCTACCTCCACAGGCAGCAATCCTTAGGAATACCAGTTTTTGGCTCGGAGTCTCCTACAGGTATCTGGGACAATATTCAGCAGGCTCTTCTTATGTCAATAGCAGAATGCTGGGCTTGATGGGCCATTGGTCTGATCCAGCACTCTCTTCTTACATAGTTGTGTTGTGAATCTGTGGAGCGCACAGCTCTCTCGCATGGTCTGAGGATGGTCTGTTGATGGTCTGATGAGGACCAGGACAATAAATGGAGAAGGCCGGCCAAGGGGGTCAGAGGGGCTGAGAAGGGATAGGAAGCCTAATGTCTGCACATTTTACTCATTCGTTCATTCAGTTATTCACACAAGTATTTATATACCACCCTCCCACAAAAGGTCAGTGCAATGTACATCAGCATTGAAACATTTGAAAGCAATACAAAGCTGACACTGAGAGGAGACAGGATAGCCACCCTTAAATATCTCAGGGCTGGCACATGGAAGATGGAGCAAGCTTGTTTTCTCCTGCTCCGGAGGGTCAGGACTCGAACCAATGGCTTCAAATTACAAGAAAGGAGATTCCGTCAAAACGTCGGGAAGAACTTTCTAGCAGTAAGAGCTGTTTGAGAGTGGAACTGTGTCCCTTGGGGGGTTGTGGGCTCTCCTTTTTTGAGGTTTTTAACCAGAGGTTGGAGGGTCATCTGTCCTGAATGCTTTAGCAGAGATTCCTGCCTGGTAGGGGGTTGGATTGGATGACCCTCAGGGCACCCTCCCAAATTCTACCATTCTATATTACAAACAGTAGCAACCATTTCACAAGGAAATTCAAACTGGGTGGGTTCGGGGAGGAATCTGTGTCAGCCAAATGCATCCCCATGTTAACTTTGAGTCTCCCAGACAGCATTCACCTCCTTTCTGCACTCGAGGAATGGAGAGGGACGCCTGCCCCATATATCTTAGTCCACAGCTGGAAAGAACATCTGCTCCCCTAATGCAGCTCCCAGACTATTGCCTGGCGGGTGGGGGGAAATCCACAGGATCATTCCCTGGCAATCCCCGTGAATCAGATTGGAGCAATAATCCCCTTGTTGACGCAGCCCAAATCATTAATCCTCACCCCTCCAGGCTCTCCCACTGGGTGGGAAACGTCAGCCCCGGAGCCTGGGAAATAATGGGAATCCTAGAGTCTCCAGGGAAGAGGGATTGGCTGGTAAACCACTATGGGCACAAGGCCACCCTAGAGAACAGAACTCTCCCCACTTGTGATTCCCAGTAACCAGGGGCCAGTAGCCTTCAATAGCCTTGCCCTAGAAGTCTAGGCCAAACACAATTTCCTGATGAGCTTAGCTTTCTGCATGCAAGGGGTTTGTCATAGTCAAAGATGCCTCCTAAATCCTTCCACACAGGTAGAGCTGGTATCAATGTTGTATGCTGCAGCAGAAAGGGTTTGATTGTATTCTTGGGGGATGTGGTTGCCTTAGGCCAGGGCCAGGGAATTATCAGTCTCAGGGAGCCAAGGCATTGGCTGATTGGTTGATTTTTACATTTATAGCGCAAGGAGCTGAAAGTGGCATACAGAGTTCTCCTCCCTCTCTATATTATCCTCTTGACAACCCTGCAAGGTAGGTTAGGCTGAGAGGCAGTTATTGGCCCAAGGTCACCGTGCCCCCCATCACAGGAACTGCGGCCTGTGATAGATGGCGGCCCTCACGCTGGAACAATCTCCCCTCTCTGGGGGAAGCCATTGCGCTAGAAAGAAAGAGCGAAGTGAAATACAGCGAGAATATGTTCCATGATGCACCTTAACTGTGCTGAGCCACCACCGCAGGGAGGGAATAAGTTATGTGCCTTTAAAAAGTTTTATTTGCCTTTTTATACCCTGGCACCGTTCTAGCGGCGCAGAAGTAACCAAGGACAATTTCCTGGAGTTTTATTAAGAGGCTTAAATCAGGGTCTTCCCGGCGTTCCGAACCAACACCCGGCTTTACAGCACACAGGTTTACAGCCTGCGTGACTTTATCTGCGTATGGCTCCAGTAAGGAAAAAGAAGGGTCTCTCAGGTCCTTTCCTGGGGGGTCAGCAGCAGAGGAACACGCCCAAGTCTTGAACAGAGATGAGCTGATTAAGAGCCAGAGTTTCCAACAGCCAGTAAGAGCTGTTTGACAGTGAATCGGACTCCTTCAGAAGGGGGTAGACTCTCCTTCCTCTGAGGTTTTTAAGAAGAGGTTAAGTGGACAAGGATGCGGGTGGCGCTGTGGGATAAACCACAGAGCCTAGGACTTGCCGATCAGAAGGTCGGCTGTTCGAATCCCCGCGATGGGGTGAGCTCCCGTTGCTCGGTCCCTGCTCCTGCAAACCTAACAGTTCAAAACACGTCAAAGTGCAAGTAGATAAATAGGTACAACTCTGGCGGGAAGGTAAACGGCGTTTCCGTGTGCTGCTCTGGTTCGCCAGAAGCAGCTTAGTCATGCTGGCCACAAGACCCGGAAGCTGTACGCTGGCTCCCTCGGCCAATAAAGTGAGATGAGCGCCGCAACCCCAGAGTCGGTCACGACTGGACCTAATGGTCAGGGGTCCCTTTACCTTTAAGCGGACCAATGTGTCAGGGATTCTTTAGCTGCACTGCACGGGGTTGGTCTTGATGAACACTGGGGTCCCTTCCATCTCTTCACTTCTATGATAAATCTAACTGCCACGCTGGGCTGCAGCTGGGCATGGAGGAGATCCAGTTTGCGATAAGACAAACCAACTTAATCTCCACTTTCCCAAAAGGAACGTGGGCATCCTTTGAAAGCCACCCTCCTCCGAATTTTGCAATGTGATTCTCCAGCCAAGTAATGTGTACAAAATTGGATATTGCAGGGAACAGTGTGCATGGAAATGCATATATCAGTGAAAGTGGCAAACCAAAACGCATTATTTCAGAGAACATTGCTTTGCAAAAAGTGTACATCGGGAAAGATGTCATACAAACAGTTTACCCGCGAGATAGTCTTAGCCCATCTATGACCTTCAGCACTGTTACAAGAACCACATTATACCCGTTCCTTGTTTAAACCAAGCCTACTCAGATATTTAAGAAATTTGATGCACTGTCCAATCTACTTTTAGCTTACTGCTTTTTTAACTTTTCAACTGTCTTAAATTTGGGGGTTGATCGTTTTTATTATTGATTTGTATTTTTTTGTAAACCACCTTTTTAAGATAATAAAAAGGTAAAGGTAAAGGACCCCTGACAGTTAAGTCCAGTCGCAGACGACTGTGGGGTTGCGGCGCTCATCTCGCTTTACTGGCCGAGGGAGCCAGTGTTTGTCCGCAGACAGTTTTTCCGAGTCATGTGGCCAGCATAACTGAGCCGCTTCTGGCGAAACAAGAGCAGCGCACGGAAACGCCGTTTACCTTCCTGCCAGAGCAGTACCTATTGATCTACTTGCACTTTGACGTGCTTTCAAACTGCTAGGTTGGCAGGAGCTGGGACTGAGCGACGGGAGCTCACCCTGTTGCGGGGATTCGAACCACCGACCTTCCGATCAGCAAGCCCAAGAGGCTCAGTGGTTTAGACCACAGCACCACCCGTGTGTATAAAGCAGTGTATAAATGTTATGAAATAATAAACGAATGAATGAATAAAAATGGGTAGAGTAACATTAACCTCTGCACTGCACACACTCAAATGCTCTCGAATACCCTTCTCTATCTTCCATCCAGACAATCAAGAGGCATGGATGGCTCAGTCAGTAGAGCATGAGACTCTTAATCTCAGGGTTGTGGGTTCGAGCCCCACACTGGGCAAAAGATTCCTGCAGTGCATTGGGTTGGACTGGATGACCCTTGTGGTCCTTTTCGAAGTCAACAATTCTATGATCAGAGTTCAATGACAAATCCGAGCCAGGCAAAGGCAGTTTGCAAGGAGTTTGCAGAGCAGGTCTGGCGAAGGCCATGCCTCACTACAAAGAACTTTTGGCTCTGATGTGCTCCTACCTGAAATCCACAGCAAAGCTCATCTACTCAATTGTGTTCATCACAATATGCCTAAATTGCCTTTCCTCCAATAGATTCCAGGGCGGTGCACACACAATGAACATGAAAACAAAACAAAAAATTATACAAGATTCCAATATAATCAAACCACATTCTTCATGTCCAAGAGGAAGCAAAAGCTTTTTTTTTTTTCAAATAAAAAAAAGACATAAAAGCAGACTAAGGCAGCATAAGCCTTTCAAATGACTGGGATGATGCTGAGCAGACTGTGAGGAAAAGGGCAAACGTTCACTGGCACAGCATCTGTTTTGCAAAGGGAGCGACCTCTCCGAAGTGCGCAAATGGGCAGCAAAATGGCAAATGTAAACAAGTGTAATATGCCCCCCAAAAGTCTTCCTTTCACAAATGCACTCCCGGAGCCTGAACTGGCAGGGATGGACCGGGTACAAGACCCCAGGAGTCTTAGTGGATAGCTCAGAAACAAGATGTTGACCCAGTGTGGAAAAGGCAAAAACCATGCTAGGGATTGTTAGGAAAGTAATTGAAAATAAAACTGCCAATATTCATAATGCCGTTCTACAAATCCATGGTGCAACCACATTTGGAATACGGTGTAGAGTTCTGGGCGCCTCTCCTCTAAAAGGATATTATACACTTGGAGAAGGTTCAGAAAAGGGAAACCAAAATGATGGAGAGGCTGGAGGGCCTCTCGTACAAGGAAGGGTTGCAGCGTCTGGGATTTTTAGTTGAGAGAAAAGCCAAGTAGAAGTTTATAAAGGCATGCCTGACATCGAGAAAGTAGAAAGAGAAAAGCATTCCTCCTTCTCTCTCATAATGCTAGAACTCCTTCACATCCAATGAAGCCGAGCGACAGAAGATTCAAGACAGATAAAAGAAAGGACTTCTTCATGCAGTGCAGAGCTGTGGAACTTCCTGCCACAGGAGGCAGTAATGGCCATCAACTTCCATGGCTTTAAAAGTTGATTAGATAAATTCATGGAACATAAGGCTATCAATGACCACCAGCCAAAATAGCTATGTCCTGCCTCCATGGTTGGAGGCAGTAATGCTTCTGAACACCAATGGCTATAAGCCACAGGAGGGGAGAGGGCTCTTGTGCTCAGCTCCTTCTTGCAGATTTCCCACAGGCATCTGGTTGGCTGATGTGAGAACAGGATGCCGGACTATACAGGCCATGGGCATAAATTGAATTCCTGAATGCACAGGGTAGGGAATGGTTAGGCTTCCGTTCATTATCCCCCCCTGAAAAAGAGAGAAGAGATTGTGCCTATTTAAACCTCCAGTGGGCATGAGTTCCAAAAGTCACCACAGAACAAGCTCTGCTTTTCTCAGGAAAGCTGGACGTACTACTGGGAGTGTGTTCATACTGGAGAAGGCCACCCCGGAAGTTCTCAGGTTGCAGACCAGCCTTCCGCAGCCTCCCAGAGGTTGTTTGACACCAGTTCCCATTGGGAATGTTAGAAACTCAGATATATAAGCTAAGCGCCAAATGGTTCTTTAAACCAAGCTTACAGTCGCCAGAACAGAATGTCTAGTTGCCATTTGGGGGTCTTATTTTTCAAATGATGGGACTGACTGTGACTGATTCTCAGTTAAACACCTGGCTAGTTCAGATGACAATCTTGAGCTCTGTTAAGCAGGGTCAGCAAAATTTTTGAGCAGGGAGCCAGTCCACTGTCACTCAGACCTTGTGGGGGGACAGACTATTTTTTTTGGGGGGGGGTGAACAAATTCCTATGCCCCACAAATAACCCAGAGATGCATTTTAAATAAAAGGACACATTCTACTCATGTAAAAACACGCTGATTCCCGGACCGTCTGCGGGGCAGATTTAGAAGGCGATTGGGCCGGGCCTTAGTTTGCGTACTCATGGTTAAGAGCTATGAGAACTTAGAAAAGTCACTCGATCCAGGGACAGTTAACATATATACTGTGGTACCTCGGGTTACATACGCTTCAGGTTACAGACTCTGCTAACCCAGAAATATTACCTCGGGTTAAGAACTTTGCTTCAGGATGAGAACAGAAATCGTGCTCCGGTGATGCGGCGGCAGCAGGAGGCCCCATTAGCTAAAGTGGCACTTCAGGTTAAGAACAGTTTCAGGTTAAGAACGGACCTCTGGAACGAATTAAGTACTTAACCCGAGGTATTGGCCTATTCCTGCCTCTTTTTCTTAACGGTGACTGCTCCTGCTCAGGCTGCACAGAGAATGCAGTTTGGTTCCAGAAATTCATTCCAATTGTGCAGAGAACATATAATTGATGTAATTCAACAGGATGGGACATTGGTGTGTGAAAGGAGTCCAGATCCAATGATTCCCACATGGCAGAGATGGCAGGTGCCATCCCAGCGCCCAGGCGTCTTCACTTGGTTGCAAAATGAGCCTGGCGCCTGGATAATTTCGAACACTACGTCTCCAATGACTACAGTAGATATGGGGAAGAGCATCTGCCTTGGAACATCTGGAATGCACAAATAACATTTGGCATGTCCAGGCTAAAGATGACTCTGCTCCCCCCCCCCAAAAAAAAAATTTTTTTTGATAAGGTTGGCTTCAAGAAGCCTATTGGAAGGTCCTCAAAGGGTCTGAATTGACCCTTTGATTCCAACCCTTTGTGGATCTAAAGTCCGCAGGCTATCAGATGGGAGATAGGCCTCGTTTTTTTCTCCACCCTCCCCTTGGCTTAAGAGCATTAAGTGTCTGGGGAGATTTCTGAGATAAAAACTTTGCTGCCTATAAATTCCCAGGGCTGTGAAGGAGAAATGGAACTGGCACTGGCAAGGCAACCCTAGCTGATGGATGGCTTCAATTTCTTCTTTCCTCCAAAGTAAATGTGCTTGATGGATCTGTCCCGGGTCCCGCCAAGACACTTTGCTGTGATAAGTATTGTTTTCTCTGCACTGCTATGCCGGTCGCTCACAGACAACCTTCAAGTGATGCTTTTATCAGCTTGTCAACATCGAAGCCACTCACCTGTCGATTTCGGCTTCCCTCTCCCAAGGTTCCCCACCCCTCCCCAAAATATAAAACCCTGCCATCTCAAAACAGGCTGTTATTTTTCCTTTACCTGAAAAATACTGGGGGACAGGTCCCATCCCTATTAGAACAGCCTTCTAACATCTCATCTCGAATGCCACAATTCCCTGTCTATCACTCCTCCTACCACCAGAAAATTGGAACGGCCGGGGGGGGGGGGGGAGAGAATCAGCCTTCTTTGCTGACAAGGGCATTGTGGACAACCTCAGCAAGACAACTGTAAAGGCCACTACCCAGCCTCCCCAAAACTCTGACAAGCCTGTCAGTTTTCAGCTGCGCAAAATAATAATCATAATAATTCAGTGGCACTTTGTTTTGTTAATTTGAAAAAGAAAATGCCAAAGGGACATGCTTCTCAGAGAGACTTTCCCCCCTTCTTTTACAAGTGTATGGTGGGAAAAATCCCAGCCATGTTAGAGTCCTGCTGGATTAGCCCTATGGCCCATCTAGTCCAGGGACCTGTTATCAGAATCACCAAAAAGGTGCCCCAAAGGGAAACACGCAAGCAAGACTGGAGGGCAAAAGAGCTCTCTCAACAGTAACTTGTATTCAAAGGCTGACCACCTCTAATATTGGAAGTGGCACACAGCCTCATGGCTTGTAGCCATTGTTCACCTTCTCCTGCTCAACAAATTTGTCTGTTCCCTTTCGAAGTCACCAGTGGATCGTGTGGGGTTGGACTGGATGACCTTTGGGTGCCCTCCCGCTCGACCAATTCTACAAAGTACATGTGCAACTTCCAAGAGCACCCCCAAAAAAGGCATGGGAGAACATAGACCCCCCCCCCCGCAGGTGAAATAAAAAAATTAAGGTCTTATATATAAAATAAATGTTCGTAAATGTACCAAGCAAACACGTACATAAATATATAAACCACATGTCTGAAGCAGCACAGGAAAACAGCCATTTTGACTCCCAAACTGACCAAATTTTTTTTCTGCAAAGTCAAAAGAAAATGGAAAAGCCTCCCCATTGTCTTTTCCTTCACAAATCCTGTCTTAAGGGTATGTCTGTGTATGAATAGGTGATTCTGTGACCTGGCTCAGGAACGAAGTATTTATCATTACAAAAGACTGGCCAGGCTCCCCAGGTAATCTAATAAAGTAAGCATTAACAGGTAACTTGCCAGACAGGAAGTAAACAACCCGCTCAGATTTCTGCTTTAGCCCGCCCTTTCTGTGATGTAGGTATGATGTTTCTGGGGGTGGTCTTGGACTCCAAGGCAGGCAATTTAAAATGTCTATATAAGGGCGGGCACACCTGGGTTCTGGGTCCTCCTCCTTTCCTGCGTGTGAGGGGAGCACCCTGTTGCAACAGTTCAATAAAGATCAGGCTTACTAGCTGCTTTGCTTCTCAATATTCTCTGGTTGGCCTCTGTTCTTATCTCTGACCAATGGAGAACCTGCAAAGGACTCTAAGAAGGCTCTTGTGTCCCCCATAAGGGAATAAGGGCAGATTTTCGTTTATTACACAGGGATTCCCCTTTCTCTGCTCCCCACCCTCAGATGATAATTACAACGGGCTTTCCCTACCTAGCAGGATTGTGGTTGGATGTGTGACAGCGCCAATCAATTCCTCCAGGCTTCCTCTTTGATGCCTGGCTCCTGCCACATCAAATCCAGAGAGCTGCCTGTAGCGAGAGTGTGACGTCTCGTCAAATGCCAACCTGCGCTTGATTCATGCTAATTGTGCCATGTGGGAAGAAGGGCTGCTTTGGTTCATCCATCACCACTCAATGTTGTTTGTTCTGCTGCTGGAGCGGGAAAGGAAAAGGCCATGGGGTCAACCCTACACAAATCCAGGGAGGAGACCCTCAGATGGTTGGATGGGGTCTTGTATGCCTCCTTCTGGCAACTCCCACAGCCAGGATGGTGCCAGATGTATTGCTCTGCTTTCCTTTGGACCACATCAGTGAGGCCCAAAGGGAGATCTTGTTGTCTAGGAAGCACAGGACCTCCATATACACTGCCCTGCCTTGCACCCTGGAAAAGAAGCACGCTCCATTATCTCTCGAGACAGATGAATGCCAACCACTGTCGCAGAGACCTTCCACCTGCCTCTTGGCTTCACATCATTCACTGTTTGATGAACCTCACTTAGAATCATAGCTAGAAGGGACTCTGAGGGTCATCAAGTCCAACCCCCGGCAATGCAGGAATCTTTTGCCCGACATGGGGCTTGAACCCACAACCCTGAGGTTAAGGAGTCCATGCTCTTTACTGACCGAGCTATCCCAGCATTACTCTCTTTCCTGCCGTTGCCCTACAAGGACGTGAAGCTGAACGTTGAAAGATTCAGGGCAGAGAAAACAAACTACTTCCAATCACACACTATGTATTTAAACTATGGAACTCCCTGCCACAGGAGGCACTGATGGCCATCAACTTGGATAGCTTTTAAAGAGGATTCGATAGATTCATGGAGAAGGAGGAAGGCTGTCAAAGGCTGCTAGCCAGGATGGCTATGCTCCGCCTCCATGTACAGAGGCAGAAAAGCTTCTGAATGCTATTTGCTGTAAGTTGCAGGATGAGACGATGCTGCTCTCATTATTTATTACTGTTGTTAATAGTATTATTTCTGAAGGTGTGTGTTTGGGCCACTGAGAGTAGAGGATGCTGGACCAGATGGCCCTCTGGCCTGAGCCAGCAGGGGTGCTCTCATTTCCCTCTCTTCCCCCAGGCAAGTCCAGCCTCCCCCCAGCCCCGCAAATCCTGAGCTCCAGCAGGCAATAAGAGAGTCCCAGGCGCTGGGGCTCTAAATCAGTCGGGAGCCAGCTGTTTGCAGGTGACGGATAATAAAGTAACTCCCTCCCGACGCACACAACGCGGCTCTCTCTCCCAGCGGCCCCTTCCTGATGAATTTATTGGGGATTTTCATCATCGTGTCAGCTCCAGTAATTGCTTTACAGACAACTTTCCCAAGCTGGGCCAGCTGTTGCCTGAGGGAGGAAGAAGAGGGAGAGGGAGAGGGAAGGCCACTGTCCTTCAGGAATCACTGGAGGGTCTCAGGCAGAGGCCCCCAAACCAGCACCCACAGGCGTCATGGCCCCTGACTTTCATTTTTTGAGGGAGTGGCAATTCTCTAGCTCTCCTAGAAAGAAAAAGCAAAGGGGAAATTGTCAAAGGTCAGAGATTCCTGTACCCTCTTGAACCCCTTTAACTCAATAATGTTGCTCCTTGACGCACCCAAGGTTGTCTCCAGCTACGTTTTACAGGGCGTAAACCAACTGAGGTTAATGAACCCAAGTATTTATTTATTTAGTTCATCAAATCTGTACTCCATTTGATTGTAAAAAAAGAAAAAGAAAAACAACAACAGCTTCAAAGCAGTTTACAAAGAGAATAAAATAATAAGTTTATCTGCAAAAACAGTCAAGACAGCTTCTTCAAATCAGCAATGAGCTAGAAAGAGATTAGAACGTACATCGATATTCCACATGTCTGGGTAGACTTGCCTAAACTAACATGTTTTTAGCGGGTGCTGAAAAGAGCACAGGGTAGGTGGCTGGCTGATCTCAAGAGGCAGGGAGTTCCAAAGTGTCGGTGCTGCCACACTAAAAGATTGCTTTCTTGCAGACGCAGAACGGGTATTTTGTGGCAGTACCGGTTCCACAGACCAAAGTGGTAGAGTGGGCTTATGTAAGGTTCATTAATGTCAACAGGTCTGCTCTGAGTAAGACTAAGGCTGAGTGCAACTCACTGTTCCAGCAGATGACCCAATAAACCTGGGGTGTGGGATCTCAGGCCTGCAGGCAAAACTTTGGCCCTCCAAGCCTCTCAATTTGGCCCTCGGTAGTCAGTCCAGGCCGCACCCATCCTCAGGCCACACACCCTCTGAACACCCCTATTCTGCACCTTCCATGTGTCCTTTGGACTGTCTGGAAATATCCTTGAAGTGTGATAATGTCTCTTGCTAGCCTGGGTGGTGAAAGATGTCTGTGAGTCACAGGGTCTTAAGACCCCTGACTTTTTCTCTTAGGTTCCACCTATCTGCTATAAGCCCTGAGCTTTATGGGGACAAATCGTGATAAATATCACTAAACTATTGTTCGTTGTCTGGACTTAACGTTACTGAATTTTTTTATATAATATATACAATCTTGGCAGCTCAAATAGTAATTACAGCTCAAGTGGAAAGCAGCCCAAAATCTTACACTGGGTGCTTGGTTCCACTCACTCTGGAATATAGCTACGATGGAGAAAATTGCACATCATTTGAGATTTTGACAAGGACCAGAAACCTCCAGACACATTTTATATGATTTGGCATTCCTTGGTGACATATACAGCGAAACCATCATTCTCAAGGCAGTCCTTGTCACCAGCCTGGAAAATCTGGAACTAGGCTTGATGATCTGATAACTTTGATAGCCTTTTACTTGGTTATTTTGATCCATGTGCAACTGTACTCAGTCTACATGCCTATTTTACGGCATTGTTTTTCGTCTTTTAATTTGCATCTGTTGTTATAACTGTTCTCTCTGCTTTAGATGCATTACAAAACAATTTTTTATATTTTTTTACAAAAGGTTGTGTTGCCCTTTGGCCAACACCCCCAAGATTCACACACACACACACACACACACACACACACACCACTTTTACACCAGGCTGTGGGCTGGCCCTGCAGTTGCCAGAGAGAGAGATTCCATCTCACTTCGGCTGCCGGTAAATGATTTAATTCCTCGGGTGGAGGAAGCAGCTGAAGTGGAATTGAGGGATGGTGTTGCCTCGCTAACAGATATTAAGTGCACCCTTGTCTACCCCTTGAGTGAAGCAATGTTCTATGAAATCAAAGAATCGCTACATCGAAATGTTAACAATCTCTTGTGGCAAAAGGAGGAAGACGTCCTTTCTAATCCCCCCCCCCAACCACACACCAATCGCAGGCTTTCCATCTTGTCAAAAAATAAAATACATCTCATGTCTCATAGGCTGCCCACATCTTTCATACAGAAATAATTTGCTTCCTTTCCCCCGTCTTTTTGTGGTTCATAATCAAGGAATAACTTTGCATTTTTCACGGGCGGGAATAGCAGTGTTTCCTTTGCCGGGTTCTTGGATCCCAGAGACAGCTTCATCACTGATCGCCTGAGGGCAGCAGGAAAGTCGAGGCCCAGATCCATGAGGAAGATCAGGCTTCTGGTCTCATCGCACCCTGCTGACCTCAGGCTCATGACCCCAGAGTCCAGTGGTGATCAGCAGGCCAAGCCAAAGGCTACAGGGTCAAAAATCCAGACCCAATTGCAGACTCTAAGGCTGGTGAAGAGGGGGCCATTGGATCTGAGGCAGGAGCCCACAAAGCCAGATCACACAGCATGGGGGTCCCATGGAATGAGAGCCAGGACGCTCGGGCACATTTGACCCTGGACTTTAGGAACTGAATGCCACCCACAATGCCCTGCAATACAGCAATGAGGAGTGCACATAGGAACAAAGCAAGCTGCCTTATGAGTCAGCCCAGTATTGTCTACACTGAACGACAGCAGCACTCTGGGGTCTGAGCAGTGTTAGAAACTCGGATATATAATATAAAAGAACAAATCTCAAATTAGTTTACAACACCCCCATCATTCAGCCCAGACACTGAGGTCCAACTCCGAGGGCCTTCTAGCGGTTCCCTCACTGTGAAAAGTGAGGTTACAGGGAACCAGGCAGAAGGCCATCTCAGTAGTGGCACGTGCCGTGTGGAACACCCTCCCATCAGATATCAAGGAAATAAACAACTATCTGACTTTTAGAAGACATCTGAAGGCAGCCCTGTTTAAGGAATTTTTTAATGTTTGATGTTTTATTGTGCTTTTAATATCCTGTTGGGAGACACCATGAGTTGCTGGGGAAACCTAGCCAGCTGGGTGGGGTATAAATAAATTATTATTATTATTATTATTATTATTATTATTCAATCCAGAATTTTAAAAAATCAAGCTTCAAGGAAAATATTTCAGATCCTTCTCTGTGTGACATTTTGCCTTCCCAAACACCAACTTGGCATCCAGAGATCTCCACGTGGTCAAAATTGGACCCGAGCCAGTCGCAAGACGTGCCTAGTGCCCAACTAATTTCTAAAACTGGGTTTGAGACAGGGGACAATCCAAGCCCTACCTGGAAATGCCATTGGGGATTATACCTGCGACCTTCTGCATGAGATCTACCGCCATTAATGGCTACTGCCCTTACCACATTTCAAAGGAAGGCAAAGGCTAGAACAGTCATCATAACCAGTATTAAAAACAAAATCCTCAGATCAGGTGTCAGTCAATGGGATCACAGCACTCTCTCGGCCCTACCCGGAGACTAAACCTGTGACCTTCTGTGTGCAAGGCATGGGCTCTACCACTGAGCCCTGAACCCCTGGCCCACGAGAGATAGGAGGCCATGGAGTGCAGGAGACATGCTCACCTCCAGGCCAGAGGGTTGGGCCTCGAATAGACTCCAGTTCTCCAGCAGCCTGGGGAAGGCAGGCTGAAGACAGAGGCTCGAAAGAGCTCCCCACCCAGCTCTGGTCAGAAAACATTGCTTACGAGCTCTCCATGGTGCTGAAGCGACCATCTGCCTGTCTTGCTGCCCTAGGTCCCTCCATAGGAACAAAAGAAGAGCTTGCTGCATCAGGTCAATGGCCCATCTAGTCCAGCATCCTCTTCTCTCAAAGGTCAGCCAGTTGCCTGTGGGAAACTCTCAAGCCTGATCTTCCACCACTAGCATGTGCTCCCTGGAGAGCTACCCACAAGCCAATAGATAGCTCAGTTGGTTAGAGCGTGGTGCTGATAACACCAAGGTTGCAGGTTCGATCCAGATATGGGACAGCTACATATTCCTGCATTGCAGGGGGTTGGACTAAATCAGGCATCCCCAAACTCAGCCCTCCAGATATTTTGGAACTACAGTTCCCATCATCCCTAACCACTGGTCCTGTTAGCTAGGGATGATGGGAGTTGTAGTCCCAAATCATCTGAGGGCCGAGTTTGGGGGTGCCTGGACTAAATGGTCCTCAGGGGTCCCTTCTAGTTCTATAATTCTATGATGCTATATGCGGGCCTAACATACAGATGCTTAGGTAAAGCAAAAAGTGGCCAGCTTTCATATTCTGCTTGAGGGCTTCTCAGTGGCCTCTGACTGATCACAGCAGAGGAACAGGGCCTTTGCTCTGATCCAGCAAACAGGTTTTATCAGGCATGGTATCTCAGGGGAACCTTCATGTTCAGGAGCAGTATACAGTGGTACCTCAGGTTAAGTACT